GAGGCGAACTGGTCTCCCAGGTCTCAACACCGGTTGCTCCCGAGTATCTTGAACACCAGGCAAAGGATGAACGCCTGACTGGTCCCAACGAATTCTCACAGCTTGACAGGGTTCAGGTATGTGTCACCCTTCTATTTGGCAACCCAGTTGGATGACATCTCTGTGTTGTTTTGCGTCGGCACCACCCATTCTTAACGTTCTCCGGCATAAAGGTCATCCCATATCTTCATTTCTGTTGATATAATTAAAACTGCTGCACAGTAGAACGTGGAAGGTAGAGACGGACTACTGAAGGATAGGGGAGAGTTAGCGTTTGGGTGGAAAAGGGAGTAGTCTCAATTCCGCTTAAAATCCCCTCCAATCCAAGTAACAGTCAAGCCACTGCTCCCTTCAGATTTTCTGTTGGTCATCTTTAATTTCAGCGGACGATATGTCATGGTCTGAAATGTTCGTCATAGTTAATAGACTGAATGAGTTCGGAGCTTTTCCGGCCCTAAGTACTCGACTTAATTTCATCTTGCTCAATGAACTGGATGAAGACTCTATTCACATTCTGTGCCTGACTTCTGTGTCGGCTCTCTTCTTCCCTTCTGCATCGAACTGGCAGTTGTCAAAACAGAAGATTACAGCGCCTATTCCTGGCCCACTGTCTATCTCTGGCCAATAGACCGCATATCACCCTGTGCCTAAAATAGCACATTTCACTAACTCCAAGACGGAAACCTTCTTATGCTCTAAAGGTTTCTGAAGCTTTTCGTTCGATATAGCCCGACCGATCAGCCGGTCCTCTGGCGTCAAGCAGTCCTCGTGTAAATTAGAGAGATTTCAAAGAGTTACGGGACCTCGCCTGTCTAAATGCCATTCCAGCAATTTCTAGAGGACAAGATTTTCACATCCTCGAATGCTTCACGGATCTTTTTCGAATGCTGAACCGGTTTAACTCAGTAACAGAGATCTATCTAAAATTTACTGGGGTAAATGTTGATGAGTATGTCAATATCATAGCCATATCAGACCTAATTTTCATGCATTTATTACCACTGTCAAGTAAGTTTCTCCGTTTATCTCTAAGCCGACATCAGTCCGCTTTTCTCTGGGAAATCCTCTCAATGCGGAATCTCTATGCCAGCTTAGTAAACTTTCTAGAATATCCTCTTTCATGAAAGGGAATGCCTGCTGGATAATACTAGTTGCGGCACCTGTAACGATTGGCCCTCGAAAAGCTATCGCCTTCTTTTTTTTTATCGAGCGGCAAACTTTGAAGGTTGCTCTTCGTAATTTATGTAATTCTATGGGGCGTGTCATACCGCTCAGTTAAGTAAAAATAAATTATTATTGGCTTGCGAGAATAAGGATAGCAAAAACTTTCAGGCATAATAAACATATGTATTATATAGTACAAGAGTGACTCGTACGCTCGAAGCCTGAGCTTAACTCTCTGTGTAACTCCCGCGCGTTTCTGACATCTTAAGGCTCGTCGTTCTTAATTTTTTGCAACTGCTTTAGTATAATTTTTTGGCTGATTTGAATGAGTCAACCGACCAAAATTGTGTAAATCTCGCATGACTAACGTGTGCTTTTACTGTTGCTCCAGCAGATGTCAAACAGTTTTAGCATTATGGTATTTAAATTCACCCGACCTCATGTGCTGACCAATTGCCCTTTGCTGCAGCCCAGTCGGTAGAGTTTGGGGTACCAGATAAGTTTCTGCCCTTCCTACCGTTTCGTACGTTTTCCAGCATTCATATCCTCGCTCAAGTATTTGGCACACTGTGCTATTGGATTTAATGACAGCGTGTTTTTAACAGTACTCCTTAAATCCTTATCATGAGCCTAGACACTGCCAAGTTTCGATTATATATTCTGATCTAGTTGGGCCATATGCTGAACGAGGTTCTTGTTATAATTTGCCTGCTCGCTCTGTATGTTCTCTCACTTTTCAATCTTATCACCTTTTCAGAGTGAACCGTCAGTCGACACAGCTGCCCTCGGATCCGACCGGTTTTCTCCCCATGTCATGAACCAGCAACCATTAGGCTCTGCCTTATACATAGAAGATAGTCGCATGAAGATTGCCAACTCCCCTGATCTTTGTCAGATGCAACGCAACACC